TGGGCGGGGTATAAATAATAATAATAATAATAATAATAATAATTATTATTATTATTATTATTATTTATTGGCAAATTCTGGAGCCCCCTTGTGGCGCTCACACACAGTCCCCGGTCGTTCCACGGACTCTTGCCCCTGTGCCGCCACGTCTATTCTCTTCTACTGCCACCAACCAGGTTTTCCCAGTAATATATTCAGACTCAGTCAGGTTGTAACGTATTAACAAAGATTCCAGTTTATTGTGAACGTAAACAAGTTTTAAATACTTTGAAACACAATACAGAGGTACCTCGGGTTAAGTACTTAATTCGTTCCGGAGGTCTGTACTTAACCTGAAACTGTTCTTAACCTGAAGCACCGCTTTAGCTAATGGGGCCTCCCGCTGCCGCCGCACAATTTCTGTTCTCATCCTGAAGCAAAGTTCTTAACCCAAGGTAATATTTCTGGGTTAGAGGAGTCTGTAACCTGAAGCATATGTAACCTGAAGCGTATGTAACCCGAGGTACCACTGTAATCCAATTCCCTCTCTCTGTCTCTAACCCACGCTGGCTCCTATGCCCCCCACCCACAAGAAAGCAACCGAACTAACGGTCTCTCTGTTTCCAGCTGTCTTCCCCAACTGTCTAAACCTTTGGCTAAGCCTTTTTAAAAGAGGTAGGCTCAGTGGCGTAGCGTGGGGGGTGCAGGGGGGGCTGGCTGCACCGGGTGCAACATCTGGGGGCTAGGGTTAGGGAGCGCAAATCCATGGGTTAGGGGCACAAATTACTTGCCTTGCCCCGGGTGCTGACAACACACGCTACGTCACTGGGTAGGCTCCGCCTCTGGGCTTTGCTATTGGTCTCCCTATTAATCCTTCTCTGCCCCTGTACAGACATTTTCAAAAGGACGGGCAAACGCCACACCCATTCATCCCACTCGAGGGGGATCGGAGCCACCTGTGCAAAGAGACAGGCACAAAACAGTCCGCTTCCACCACTGAAATGATCTGGGAAGCCTTTGAAGCATGGGAAAAGCCACGGATCAGGGATCTCAGTCACCCAGGTGAGTAAACTGGTCACTTTTGTGAAACTAAGTGGGCCGCATTGCCATTCCATCAGATGCATGAATATATATATATATTTTAAAAATTCTCTTTGCAAACCGCTTGGAGTTTTGTTTTGTTTTTTAATCAAATGATGTATACATGTTGTGAATAACTGAATAAATAGAACAGCACACTCGGGCTTTCTCTTGGCAAAAGGAAAGGGGCTGGTTTCGACCAGGAGGGAAACAGAACTTCCAGGGACTCTCAAGCTTTCCTCTTCTTTCTTTTCTTTTTAAAAAAGCATCAAGTTACCAGTCCCTAAGGGACTTGGCTGGCGCTGTGGTCTAAATCACAGAGCCTAGGGCTTGCTGATCGGAAGGTTGGCAGTTCAAATCCCCGTGACGGTGAAGGGACAGGGTACCCAAATCCTGTCTGTGAAATCACCCCAGGCCTCAAAACTGTCCAAAACTCCTTTTGTCTTCTAAAAATCCAAAACAGCTTTTCTCTGCTCTCCTCTGCTCTATCACAAGATGCTGTTCGAAAGGCAAAATGTTACTTTTAAAGGTTAATGAATAGACTTTGTCATTGCCAAGAATACTCAGGCCTGAGAAACGAATCTTATCTCATTCAGTTGCAACACCTTTGGACATGTTGGACATTCCCCTTTCCTAGTCCCAAGACAGCTTTCTGTTCATGCTCAGAGGAACCTCAACATGGGGCAGGACTCCTGAGGGAGGAGAAAGGAGGAGGGAACTGGAAAGGCGGTATATATGCTTGTGCACATGATTGTGAACTCGTGCATGCTTTTTGTGACTTATCACACTTGCTCCTTCTATCAGTTCATGGATGGTTAGAAATAAAATCTTTTTCTCCAAAAACTATTCCTTGAGTGTCTGTTGACTCCCACTTCCCTTTCCCAGGCGCAATATTTTTCCCACCCGAGGGCAAAGCCTCAGAAGGCTACAACGGGGTGAGCCACCCGTTGCTCGGCTCCCAGTTCCTGCCAACCTAGGAGTTTGAAAGCACGTCAAAGTGCAAGTAGATAAATAGGTACCACTCCGGCGGGAAGGTAAACGGCGTTTCCGTGCGCTCCTCTGGTTCGCCAGAAGTGGCTTAGTCGTGCTGGCCACATGACCCGGAAGCCCACCTCTGTATCTGCCTTGGCAGGTACAGATCCCCTTTTCATTTCGGCTAATTGGGGCTAAGTTAAAGCCCTCTTTGGAAAAGATGTGGGGAATAAGCTGCTGAGAAATTTGGCTGTTGGAGTCAAGGTTAGTGATGAAATTAATTCCTGTCGTAGAGGAGAATCAGAAGAGGAGACGGGTAGCTGTCTATGTTTCTATGGTTCTGGTCTCTGTTCTGCCCTCATTATCCTGCACATTTTTTATGTTTTTTAACCAATTTTATTAGAGTTTATAAAGAGAAATACAAAACTTAATACCAAATCTCTTTTTTTAGCCAACGTTAATCTAAGTTTTCATCTATTATTTATTTGTTGAATTCATATACCGCCCTAAACCCAGAGGTCTCAGGGCAGTTCAATGAAATAAATGAAATGAAATGAAAACATAGAGGAAAAGTAAAAGTAAAGAAAGAGGGGGGAAGAAAAAACTAAGAAGAAACAGAAAAGAGCTTCAAAGAGACAATGGGAAATATAAATTATAGAAATTAAAATGCTTCCAATATGTCCAATCAATATAAACAATAATCAGTTCTGCATGTTCTTGAACAGGAAAGGGAGCTTTTCTCAGCCGGAGAGGGAGATCCCTGGGATTTTTCTGCAGTCTCTTGATCCCCCTCCTTTGCTTCAGCCTCAGAGTCTGAACTGCTCTCTGTCACTGGCTCTCCCTGCTCACTAAACCCTGTTGCCCCTTCAGCATCCGACACACACTTCCCACACTTCTCCCTCTGACCTCTCCTTGGTGTTCCATCACCAGTCCCCAGGCTCTTCTGGGGTTTCCCTTGGGGGTTCCCTGGCTGGGGTCTCCCACCACTCCTGGGAGCCAGCATTGTGTAGTGGCTAAGTGTGGTAGACTTGTAATCTGGTGAACTGGGTTCGCGTCTCCACTCCTCCACCTGCAGCTGCTGGGTGACCTTGGGCTAGTCACACTTCTCTGACGTCTCTCAGCCCCACTCACCTCACAGAGTCTTTGTTGTGGGGGAGGAAGGGAAAGGAGATTGTTAGCCGCTTTCAGACTCCTTAAGGGAGTGAAAGGTGGGATATCAAGTCCAAACCACCACCACCTCCTCCTCCTCCTCCTCCTCCTCCTCCTCCTCCTCCTTCTTCTCTTTGACCAGCCATTCCCTGACATCTTGCACCTCCCGCTCGCTGCTAGGGATCTACATCCACGCACCACAGCTTTGGACCAGTACACCATTCAATACTTCAACTGGAAACATCAGGAGGCTGCAAATCCTAGACTCATCAAGTTGGAAGGAACCCGAGGGTCATCAAGTCCAACCCCCTCCAATGCAGAAATATTTCGCCCAACTTGGGACTCGAACCCACAACCCTGAGATTCAGAGTTTCGTGCTCTACCTTTGCCGGGAAATTAAAGACTCCATTTCGGGGGTGGGGGAGTCAGGAAGCTTGTGGAAGTGCTGTGACGTGCCCCTTGGGTGGCATGGCAGCTGTGACCCTTGCAGCGCAGGGGCTCAGCTGCAAATCATGAACCTGCACAATAAGCTTCGTTCTCCAAATGGACTGCAGGGCCATCTCGCAGTAGCTGCATGGAAGATGCGGGCAGCCACCAGAGGAGCAGCGTTCAAATCTCTCTGGGCGCAATTCACGGCAGGCAACCAGCCTTTTGCCAGCAAGCAGAGATGTCTGGTTGCCGTGGGCAAGAGCCCTCTCCTTCCACAGCCGCCACGAGGTGCAAACACCCAGCGTCTCAGAAGAGGTGCATTTGCACTCCCTGCCAGAGGGTGCAACTCTCCCCTTGCTGCTTTGAAGGAAGGAGCCCTTTCCACCAAGCAAAGGGGTTTTCACATTAGGTATAATTGGTTTAACTCACACTGAAATGGGAATGCCTGTGTGTTGGTGAAAAGGTTTAACAGAGATTTTCCATGGGGTTATATTAAAAGCAAGAAAAGTCATCTCTGAGTTTTAACCAGTTGACAAATGAACTGGTTGTTGTTCTCAAGAAGGTAAGAGGTGAGTGTATAACCTTAGATCACATGTGAGGTTATCGTATTGCAAATCTGCTAACTTGGAAGGGCTCTTTCTCTGTTCTCAAACTCCATGGAGTAATGACTTCCCTTCATTGGGTTTTTTTTAAAGCAGAGGTTGGATGGCCATCCGTCATGGATGCTTTAAGTTGAGATTCCTGCATTACAGGGGGTTGGACTAGATGACCCTTGGGGTCCCTTCCAACTCTACAGTTATTTGATGCAATGTAAATGGCTTGTTAGGAGCACAGCCTTGGGGGCTGAAATGCCAGAATGCTGGCAATGAAGCCTGTGTGAGAGAAAGAGCTATGTTTGCTCGCTCTGATTATAAGTTTATTTTATTTGTAAGATGCGGAGCCCATGCTGGACAGCACAAGATATTATACGGATATTTTGAATATCTCTTTGATGCTTTTGTTACGTTTTTAAAGAAAGTTCTGTAAGTCAAAGTTTGGGTCGGGACAATGCTTCATTCCCAAAGGACTCAGTTTTTATGCATCCAGTCTGTTCAAACTGTGCAATATCGGTATCTGCAATATTCCATACCACCCAAAGTCTTGTGGGCCAAAAGAGCCACATTTTTCAGGGGCAACAACTGGTTGCAGTCCATCTTTTCGGAGAAAATCAGGATCCACATTTCTTCGGGGCGGCCAGCAAAAGAGCTTCACGTGTGGACCAGATCAGGATCTGCATTTCTTCAAGGCTAGCTTGGCCACAGAGCGACAGTCCCCGGGCATAGTAGTAATAATAATGATAATAATAATAATTTATTATTTATATGCCGCCCATCTGACTGGGCTGCCCCAGCCACTCTGGGCAGCTGCCATAATAAATTTTAAAAGCACAACATCACACACTAAAGATTTCCCTGAACAGGGTCGCCCAAGTGCGCCTCGCGGGTGGTGACTTCTTGGATCCCCTTGACAGGAGGAAAAAAGACCCAGAGGGGGAAAGGGCGCTTCTGTCGGTCACCAGTCCAGGCTCTCCTTTTGGCTGGTAATCTTTGGGCTCTTTTCGCCGTAGAACTGGGAGAACCAACGACGGTGCCTCTGGATCGCCCCATCTTCCTTCACCAGAAGCGGTTTGGAGAGGTATTGTTTGTGGTTCCATATCATGACGTCCCGCTCAAACTGAAAAAGGAGACCAACAAAGAAAGAAAAGTCACTCCATTCCAACGATCACGGCAGTAGAGTGACAGGCGTCTGCAAATCAGTCATAGGATTGTAGAGTTGGAAGGGACCTTGGGGGTGCAAACCCCTGCAACAGGAACAGGACAACAGGAATACCCTCACCATTCAGCCCAGACACTGAGGTCCAGCGCCGAGGGCCTTCTGGTGGTTCCCTCACTGCGAAAAGTGAGGTTACAGGGAACCAGGCAGAAGGCCTTCTCGGTGGTGGCACCTTCCCTGTGGAACGCCCTCCCTTCAGATGTCAAGGAAATAAACAACTATCTGAGTTTTAGAAGACATCTGAAGGCAGCCCTGTTTAGGGAAGTTTTTAATGTTTAGGGATGTTTTTAATAAGAATCTGCATGCGGTCCCCTGAACTGAGACAGAGCGCGGAGAGAAGCACGAAACCTACACTGAGATGCAGCAGGCAGGGAAGAGGGATGGAGTGCAGGAGTTCTTTTGATAGACTTTGCCCTGCACCCAGGGTTCAAAATCCACCAGCTGCGTTTTACAACAGGCGCAGGCCCACTTGCAACCATGCCGAAATCTCAGGGTGCCAGGTTGGCGCATTACATCTCCATATGGCTGCCCCCCCCGATCAATAATAATAATAATAGCAAAGAAAATGTGCCTAAACATTCCACAGTGTAAGCCGTCACCAGGTTTTAAGGTGCCATTTGGTGACTCGCTTATGTATATGAGTTTCTAACAGTGGAAATTATTATTAAAAATACAGTCAAACCTCGACTCCCAAACGCCCTCCCTTTTGGAAAGTTTCAGCTCCCGAATGCCAAAAACCCGGAAGTATCTGCTCTGGTTTTCGAACGATTTTCGAATTCCGGGGATTTTTTTCCTTTTTTTCTCCATTGACTTTGCCGACCGCCTTTTGATCCTCGGTTGTCGTTTCGGAAGTCGAACTGTCTTCCGGAATGGATTACATTTGACAACCAAGGTTTGACTGTCCAGTGGTACCTCGGGATAAGAACTTAATTCGTTCTGGAGGTCTGTTCTTAACCTGAAACTGTTCTTAACCTGAGGTACCACTTTAGGTACCACCTGAGGTACCACTTTAGCTAATGGGGCCTCCTGCTGCTGCCGCGCAATTTCTGTTCTCATCCTGAAGCAAAGTTCTTAACCCGAGGTACTATTTCTGGGTTGGCGGAGTCTGTAACCTGAAGTGTCTGTAACCTGAGGTACCACTGTACATTCAACAACCGAGGTTTGACTGTAATACTAATAACAATCAATTATTTTAAAAGGCAACTAGACATTCCATGTTGGCCACTGCTACCTATGCTTAAGGTGGCATTTGGCAATTCGCTTATATATCTGAGATTATTGTTAGTATAAATTTCACTGCAAAAACAAACAGTGCCTCAACATTCTTCAGGGCCGACCATCACCCAGGTTGAAGGTGCCATTTGGCGATTCTCTTCCCTGCGTTTCTGATGTTGCCTGACCCCTTCGTCAGGGGCGCAGGTCTGGCTGGCTTTCCAGCCCCCGGGAAGGTCTCGTTCTCCCCCCACCCACTGCTTGGGTGCCCCCTGCTGGCACTCCCTACCTGGCTGCACTCTGCCCGGAGGACCATCTTGGCGATGAAGGCGGGAACGTTCTTCTGGAAGTATATTCGGTGGATCACCTGCTGCATGAGGGGCTGCACGGGGGTGACGCTTTGGACGATGATTCCTTGGCCCAGGAGGGGAAACCGAAGGACGAGGAAGACCAAACTGGGCCCCACCTGCAGGGGGCGAGAGAGAGACTGTCAACCAGCTTGGAGGCAACCTCTCGGACTGTCAAGCTTATCATACGTGGTGGACTTGTGATAAAGTGAAGAGATTCTGGGAGCCAATCTACAATGAACTAAAGAAAATATTAAAATATACCTTCTCCAAAAGACCAGAGGTTTTTTTTTTTTGCTTGGTCTGATGAGAAAGGAGAAAGGGCCAAAGGCTATTCATGTATGCCACAGCCACTGCAAGGACTTTGGTGGCTCAAAACGGGAAATCACAAGAGGTTCCTACCATTGGGGAGTGGCAATCGAAAATGACAGACTACGCGGAATTGGCCAAATTGACAGGAAGGATCCGGAACCAGGACGACCAGAGATTCCAGGACAATTGGAGTAAATTTACTGAGTATTTAAAAGACAGTTGTAAAAACTTAAAATCACTAGCAGGACTGAAGTAACTCCTACAATGTAAAATAGATAAGATGTGAGAATATAATACTCGAAAAAAATGTGATTGTTGTTTAGTCGTTTAGTCGTGTCCGACTCTTCGTGACCCCATGGACCAGAGCACGCCAGGCACTCCTGTCTTCCACTGCCTCCCGCAGTTTGGTCAAACTCATGCTGGTAGCTTCGAGAATACTGTCCACTGTTGTCCCCTTCTCCTTGTGCCCTCCATCTTTCCGAGCATCAGGTTCTTTTCCAGGGAGTCTTCTCTTCTCATGAGGTGGCCAAAGTATTGGAGCCTCAGCTTTACGATCTGTCCTTCCAGTGAGCGCTCAGGGCTGATTTTTAATTTCGTGACTGCTGTCACCATCTGCAGTGATCATGGAGCCCAAGAAAGTAAAATCTCTCACTGCCTCCATTTCTTCCCCCTTCTACTTGCCAGGAGGTGATGGGACCAGTGGCCATGATCTTCGTTTTTTTGATGTTGAGCTTCAGACCATATTTTGCGCTCTCCTCTTTCACCCTCATTAAAAGGTTCTTTAATTCCTCCTCACTTTCTGCCATCAAGGTTGTGTCATCTGCATATCTGAGGTTGTTGATATTTCTTCCGGCGATCTTAATTCCGGCTTGGGATTCATCCAGCCCAGCCTTTCCCATGATGAAATCTGCATATATGTTAAATAAGCAGGGAGATAATATACAGCCTTGTCGTACTCCTTTCCCAATTTTGAACCAATCAGTTGTTCCATATCCAGTTCTACCTGTAGCTTCTTGTCCCACATAGAGATTTCTCAGGAGACAGGTGAGGTGAGGTGATCAGGCACTCCCATTTCTTTAAGAACTTGCCATAGTTTGCTTTTGCATAGTCAATGAAGCAGAAGTAGATGTCTTTCTGGAACTCTCTAGCTTTCTCCATAAACCAGCGCATGTTTGCAATTTGCTCTCTGGTTCCTCTGCCCCTTCGAAAAAATGTGATAAGGGATACCAACTGGAGGGAAGTCATAGTCCGGCAGAGCAAAAGGGTTTCTATTTTGATGAATGTATGGATTGTATGGAAAGAAAGATTATGTAAAGAAAACAATAAAAATTATTTGAAGAAAAGAAAAAGAGAACACCAAGGTTGCAGGTTCGAACCCCATCTGGAACAGCTGCCTTGACGGAGGCTGGACTGGATGACCCTCAGAGTCCCTTCCAACTCAACAGCTCCAGGAGTCTGCTGCTCAGCTGCTGCTGTTCAGAGGCATCCTGGTCCTCTGACCTACATAGCAAGCCAAGCCAGAAAGAGAATCTGCCTTGGGGAGGGCAAGGCATAGTGCCTTCAAGCAGCCTGGCCAGGTCACTGAACGAGAGAGAGAGAGAGAGAGAGAGAGAGAGAGAGTGTGAGTATAATGTATAAATCAAATCAAATCAAAGTTGGAAATGTAAAGAGAAAGAAGGTTTTTTTTAGCATATGTGGTGGTCTTGTAGTAAGGTTAAAGCTTACTGGGAAATGATATATAATGAAATGAAAAGGATGATTAAAGTAATGTTCCTAAAAATAAAAAACTCTTGGGAATATGGGACAGAACTATCTGAACTGTATAGAAACTTATTCATGTATGCTACTACAGCGGCAAGAATGTTAAAGGTAAAGGTAAAGGTACCCCTGCCCGTATGGGCCAGTCTTGACAGACTCTAGGGTTGTGCGCCCATCTCACTCTATAGGCCGGGGGCCAGCGCTGTCCGGAGACACTTCCGGGTCACGTGGCCAGCGTGACATCGCTGCTCTGGCGAGCCAGAGCCGCACACGGAAACGCCGTTTACCTTCCCGCTAGTAAGCGGTCCCTATTTATCTACTTGCACCCGGGGTGCTTTCGAACTGCTAGGTTGGCAGGCGCTGGGACCGAGCAACGGGAGCGCACCCCGCCGCAGGGATTCGAACCGCCGACCTTTCGATCGGCAAGCCCTAGGCGCTGAGGCTTTTACCCACAGCGCCACCCGCGTCCCGGCAAGAATGTTACTCGACCAGAAATGGAAAGAAGAAGTCCCAGCAGAAGAATGGATACAAAAACTTATGCAGAAAAGGCAAAACCTTGCTGAATTTTTACAGATACATTGTAAACAGATATAAACATTGGCAGGTTGTTGTAATAACCTGCAGTTTCATGAGAGCATATATTTAAAGAAGGTGAATAAATGAACAAATTAAGTGAATTTGGACACGCAGAAGATATAAAAATAAATTTAAGGAACTGCAGAAAGTGAGGGAAGGAAGTCAACTTTTGAAATGTCAAAAATAATTGTAAAATCAGTGAAATGCAGAAATCTGAAAGGTATAAATAAAAATTTAAAGAGAGAAAGAGAGAGAAAGGGGAAGAGGGAAGGAGGAAGACTCCTGGGTCCCTCTTGCCAAATTTACAAACCAAAAGACATATTGATAGCTCCATTAGTGAGAGATCCACTCCACTTCCCAATGGGGAGGAGTTGTGGTGGACCACATGGCCACCCACTCCCCTCAATGGGCGGGGGGGGGGCAAAGTCCTACATCCCCTGGAGGTTCCCAGCCATGTCATTCTCCTGCCAGCCAATCCGCTGGCTGGGGGGGGTGGCCAGGCCCCATTTAAACTGAGGTACGAGCAGGAGAGCTTCCTCTTGACTCGCTTCCTTGATCTCCTGCCCTTCCTCCCTATTTTCAGGTTTTGAATTTGGCCTTGCTATGGACCTTGGTTGGATGCTGTTGAGGGGCCTGGTAGGACTTTTTCCACTTGGCAAATGGGCCATTTGGTTTTCTCCTACCTCGTAGCAATCGTCATAACTTTGTAAGATGGTTAGGCATTGGTTGATCTTATGACAGGGGAGGGGAGGTGTGGCCATCACCTGCCCCTCCAAGCTTAAGGGTATTCCATTAAAGGAATCTGGGGGGGTGGATCTTGTCCAAAGTCCGGGACTGGGCTAGGGCCATGGCACAACCCCGTCGAGAACCCAGGGGGAGCTCGAGTTGGTTTGCATTGACGGGTTTCCCCCTACCAGTTGTTGACCCTTGCTGAACTCCCTGCGTGACGGACAGGAGTCAGATATGTTGTTGTTGTTTAGTCATTTAGTCGTGTCCGACTCTTCGTGACCCCATGGACCAGAGCACGCCAGGCACTCCTGTCTTCTCTGCCTCCCGCAGTTTGGTCAGACTCATGCTGGTAGCTTCGAGAAACTATCCAACCATCTCTGTTGTCCCCTTCTCCTTGTGCCCTCCATCTTTCCCAACATCAGGGTCTTTTCCAGGGAGTCTTCTCTTCTCATGAGGTGGCCAAAGTACTGGAGCCTCAGCTTCACGATCTGTCCTTCCAGTGAGCACTCAGGTCTGATTTCCTTAAGAATGGATGCGTTTGATCTTCTTGCAGTCCATGGGACTCTCAAGAGTCTCCTCCAGCACCATAATTCAAAAGCATCAATTCTTCGGCGATCAGCCTTCTTTATGGTCCAGCTCTCACTTCCATACATCACTACTGGGAAAACCATGGCTTTAACTATACGGACCTTTGTTGGCAAGGTGATGTCTCTACTTTTAAGATGTGTCTAGATTTGCCATCGCCTTTCTCCCAAGGAGCAGGCGTCTTTTAATTTCGTGACTGCTGTCACCATCTGCAGTGATCATGGAGCCCAAGAAAATAAAATCTCTCACTGCCTCCATTTCTTCCCCTTCTATTTGCCAGGAGGTGATGGGACCAGTGGCCATGATCTTCGTTTTTTTGATGTTGAGCTTCAGACCATATTTTGCGCTCTCCTCTTTCACCCTCATTAAAAGGTTCTTTAATTCCTCCTCACTTTCTGCCATCAAGGTTGTGTCATCTGCATATCTGAGGTTGTTGATATTTCTTCCGGCAATCTTAATTCCGGCTTGGGATTCATCCAGCCCAGCCTTTCGCATGATGAATTCTGCATATAAGTTAAATAAGCAGGGAGACAAATACAGCCTTGTCGTACTCCTTTCCCAATTTTGAACCAATCAGTTGTTCCATATCCAGTTCTAACTGTAGCTTCTTGTCCCACATAGAGATTTCTCAGGAGACAGATGAGGTGATCAGGCACTCCCATTTCTTTAAGAACTTGCCATAGTTTGCTGTGGTCGACACAGTCAAAGGCTTTTGCATAGTCAATGAAGCAGAAGTAGATGTCTTTCTGGAACTCTCTAGCTTTCTCCATAATCCAGCGCATGTTTGCAATTTGGTCTCTGGTTCCTCTGCCTCTTCTAAATCCAGCTTGCACTTCTGGGAGTTCTCGGTCCACATACTGCTTAAGCCTGCCTTGTAGAATTTTAAGCATAACCTTGCTAGCGTGTGAAATGAGTGCAATTGTGCGGTAGTTGGAGCATTCTTTGGCACTTCCCTTCTTTGGGATTGGGAATGTAGACTGATCTTCTCCAATCCTTCTGGCCACTGCTGAGTTTTCCAAACTTGCTGGCATATTGAGTGTAGCACCTTAACAGCATCATCTTTTAAAATTTTAAATAGTTCAGCTGGAATACCATCACTTCCACTGGCCTTGTTATTTGCAGTGCTTTCTAAGGCCCATTTGACTTCACTCTCCAGGATGTCTGGCTTCAAGGTCAGCAACCACACTACCTTGAAGGTTGTACGAGACATCCATTCTTTCTGTGTTGTTTTTACTTGTATGGGCCTATGGCCCGTAATAAAAATTTTATGTTATGTTCTTTCTGGTATAGTTCCTCTGTGTATTCTTGCCACCTCTTCTTGATGTCTTCTGCTTCTGTTTAGGTCCTTTCCACTTTTGTCTTTTATTATGGTAATCTTTGTACGAAATGTTCCTTTCATATCTCCAATTTTCTTGAACGAGATCTCTGGTTTTCCCCATTCAATTGTTTTCCTCTATTTCTTTGCATTGCTCGTTTAAGAAGGCTTCTTGTCTCTCCTTGCTATTTTTGGAAATCGGCATTCAATTTCCTGTGATCCTTTCACTATCTCCCTCGCATTTTGCTTGCCTTCTCTCCCCTGCTATTTGTAAGGCCTCGTGGGACAGCCACTTTGCTTTCTTTGCATTTCCTTTTCATTGGGCTGGTTTTAGTTGCTGCCTCCTGTATAATGTTACGAGCCTCCATCCATAGTTCTTCAGGCACTCTGTCCACCAAATCTAAATCCTTAAACCTGTTCCTCACTTACACTGTGTATTCATAAGGGATTTGACTTAGATTGTATCTTACTGGCCCAGTGGTTTTTCCTACTTCTTTCAGTTTAAGCTTGAATTTTGCTATAAGAAGCTGATGATCTGAGCCACAGTCAACTCCAGGTCTTGTTTTTGCTGACTGTATAGAGCTTCTCCATCTTTGGCTGCAGAGAATATAATCAATCTGATTTCGATGCTGCCCATCTGGTGATGTCCATGTGTAGGAGTCATCTCTTGTGTTTGTTGGAAAAGAGTGTTTGTGCATGACCAGCTTGTTCTCTTGCAAGAACTCTATTAGCCTTTGCCCTGCTTCGTTTTGAACTCCAAGGCCAAACTTGCCAGTTGTTCCTTTTATCTCTTGACTCCCTACTTTAGCATTCCAATCCCCTATAATGAGAAGAACATCCTTCTTGGTGTCATTTCTATAAGGTCTTGTAAGTCTTCATAGAATTGGTCAATTTCAGTTTCTTCAGCACCAGTAGTTGGTGCATAAACTTGGATTACTGTGATGTTAAAAGGTCTGCCTTGGATTCGTATCGAGATCATTCTATCATTTTTGAGATTGCATCCCAGTACAGCTTTGCCACTCTTTTGTTGACTATGAGGGCCACTCCATTTCTTTTACGGGTTTCTTGCCCACAGTAGTAGATGTGATGGTCATCCGAACTGAATTCGCCCATTCCCGTCCATTTTAGTTCACTGATGCCCAGGATGTCAATATTTATTCTTGCCATCTCATTTTTGACCACATCCAACTTACCCAGGTTCATGGTTCTTACATTCCAGGTTCCTATGCAATATTTTTCTTTACAGCATTGGACTTTCCTTTCGCTTCCAGGCATATCCGCAACTGAGCGTCCTTTCGGCTTTGGCCCAGCCGCTTCATCAGCTCTGGATCTACTTGTACTTGTCCTCCGCTCTTCCCCAGTAGCATGTTGGACACCTTCCGACCTGAGGGGCTCATCTTCCAGCGTCATAACTTTTATATGCCTGTTGTCTTTGTCCATGGAGTTTTCTTGGCAGGGATACTGGAGTGGCTTGCCAGTTCCTGCTCCAGGTGGATCACGTTTGGTCAAAACTCTCCACTATGACCTGTCCATCTTGGGTGGCCCTGCACGGCATAGCTCATAGCTTCTCTGAGTTATTCAAGCCCCTTCACCACGGCAAGGCAGTGATCCATGAAGGAGGGGGAAACCATAGCTTTAACTATACAGACCTTTGTTGGCAAGGTGATGTCTCTGCTTTTTAAGATGCTGTCATATAGTCAGGTCAATTCCAATGCCTAAGCCAATAGTTGTGGCCTAAATTTGCCCAATAACATTAACCTAATATCCTTGTGTCTTATTCATCAACGGGTGGGTGGTTGCGGGGTCTCGGCACGCAACATGATGCTGAGAACACCACGATTGCAGTTTCGATCCCTGTATGGGACAGCTGCCTTGCTGTGGGTTGGAATAGAAGACCACTCCACAAATCCATGACAAGAGACAAACCACACACTCACATTTCTCCGCCTCTTTCTGTGATGCTTCTATGATGCTTTCAGGTGGTCTTTGGCTAAGGGGTCGGGCAATGTGTTTAAAAGCTATGACCCAATCTTGTTCTGGGTCTTCATCTCTGTTCTGGGATGTAATAGCGGAGATTCAGGGGGTTGGGATCTCCTCCAACTTTACAGTCCTATGATTCTAGGATACTTAATTTCTGGGTCATGGGTTCAAATCCCACCTTGGGCCAAAGATTCCTGCCATGTGTGTGTGTGTGGCTGAACCAGATGACCCTAGAAAAAGTCGAGAAAGAACACAGTCTACAAACCATCCTCTTACAGCCTCTCCTCGCCACAGACTGTACCTGCCAGGCGGAAACTCTCAGGTCCATGAAGCTGAAGTGCTTTCCGAAGAGTGTGATGTTGTGCTTCAGCTGCAAGCGGGAACAGTGCGCATTGGGCTCCGGATCAGGGTGCCAATCTGCCTGCGGAAGAAAAATGGTAGAGTCATAGAATTGCCAAATTGGGAGAGTGATCTGGCCCAACCCCCTGCGAGACAGGAATCTTGACCCTGAGATACAGAGTCTCATGCTCTTCCGACTGAGCTATTGGGTGGGACCTGCAAGGGTCATCCAGTCCAACCCCGCTCAAAGCAGGAAACATTGGCCCAGCATGGAGCTTGAACCTAGAGTTTTGGAGTCTCATTTTCTTCCACTAGCAACCGAGCTAGAAATTATTGACTTTGGCGTTCAACTTGGCCAAGGTAACCCCAACCCTCCTTTCATAGAATCAGAGAGTTGTCGAGCGGGAATGGTCCCCCAAAGGTCATCTGGTCCAACCCCCGGCAATGTAGGAATGATATTTGTGCTTCAGACGCTGGGTCCCGCCGGGGGAGCCTCCTTTACCTGCCAGTGGTGCCGGAAGAAAGTCCAGAAAGGGGAGTGCATGTAGCGCAGGTCGGCTCCACTCAGGAAAGCGTGGCGGTGGAGGAAGGAGAGGTGGGCCGTATCCGCTCCGTTCTCTGGGATCTCCTGGCATGGAGAAAGGACAGAGCTGCCTGGAACTCTGCAGAGCCTCTGCCAGTTGGAAGGGGCCCCCCAAAGGTCATCCAGCCCAACCCCCACTCAAACATCAAATAATAATAATAATATTTATTTATACCCCGCCCTTCCCGGTTCAAAAACTGGATGGCATCCAAGATGGGCATTCAACCTCTGCTTCAAAACAAAGAAGGGGAGTCCACAACCTCCAGAGACCCTTCCAAGGGGCTGGCTTGGTCTTAAACAGTCCCCCCCTTTTTTAGCAATGAAATTTATTATTATTATTATTATTATTAGCTATTTTCCACCAGTGATATTATTATAAATAATAACAATAATAACAATTTCATTTCTATAGCACTTTATATTTTAAAGGAAAAAATCTCCAGGCTGTTGACAACCCATTAAGGAATCAAATCCAACGGTCCAGAATAAAATAACTTCAAGCTTCAAGGAAATCTCCCATTGCCAGTTCAGTGCAACAATAAAGGTTAAAAAAAAAAACAATCAGTCCTGCTGGACTTTACAACATAATTGTAGAAGACAATTTTGAGCATGCCTTTCCAAATGTAGACGGTTGCTTTGATATGTTTTTAACATTAACAGCCTCAGGCCAGTATCCCTGAAGGAGAGTCTCCACCCCCATCACTCAGCCTGGACACCGAGGTCCAGCGCCAAGGGCCTTTTGGCAGTTCCCTCACAGCGAGAAGTGAGGTACAGAGAACCAGGCAGAGGGCCTTCTCGGTGGTGGCACCCGCCCTGTGGAATGCCCTCCCTTCAGATGTCAAGGAAATAAACAACTACCTGACTTTTAGAAGACATCTGAAGGCAGCCCTGTTTAGGAAAGTTTTTAATGTTTGAAGTTTTATCGTGTTTTTTAATATTTTGTTGAGAGCTGCCCAGAGTGGCTGGGGAGGGGTTTAAAGATATTATTATTATTATTATTTTATTATTATTATTATATTATTCTGCTCTGCATGGGCTTCCCCTCCACACACTCTCCAACCCCGCACAAATCCGCCACTGAGCCTTACCAAGTGCCACCATCAGATCATGCATGACGCCTGCCCACCCCCTCCCTCGGGACCCCCGACTCGTCACAGCGCCCTGCCTGGCTGTGCCCCCGCAAGCACCTCAATGTGCACGTTGACAAAGTGTTCGGTGAGGCCGCGGAAGGGGCACGGGCGCGGCAGGAACTCCTCGCGGTCAGGGACTCGCCACGTCGGGTCGATGCCGTCACAGTGGTACCAGACCAGGATCATGTCGCTCACCTCGCACGACGGCCACACCTTGATCTTGGCGAATTCGGGCACTGTGGGGAGAGGGAGCAGGCGTCAGAGGCAGCCCGGTGGGACCCATGTCTCCTGATTCAGATGAAGGCCAGAGAGCTCAGATGAACCGAGCTATACATCCGTGTTCAGCGCTTCCAGTGTGCTTGCGAACTGATATGGAAAAATCCTGGGGTGCAGATATACTGGGGAGCCACTCCCCGTGGGTCCCTTTGGTCAGCAAAAGGAGGAGTCTCCAGCCAAGTTAAAGGAGCAAAATGGCGGCCAGTAAACCTGATCTTTAATTGTTGCAGGAAGGTTCAAATCACACCAAGAGTAGGAACTCCGAGCATAGGGTTGCGTGAGCTTTTAAGACCTCTCTCCCCATTTCCCATAACACATTCATCAACAGCATCATCGATAACATCACAGATATGTCCGTAGGAGTGTTTGGTGTGTTTGGAAGGAACAAGAAGCCCCGACAATAACGAACTGGTGTTACAAGCTACAA